GAGGAAGAGGGGGTTCGTTCCCTTCCCCTTCCTTCAGGACGCATGAGGATGGTGATGACGAAGTTTCTTCCCTCCCCGTTCCTTCAGAAGGGTGAGGGAGAGGTTCCGTCCCTTCCTGTTTTCCCAGGAAGAAGGAGGAGGAGGAGGTTCCGCCCTTTCCCTTCCCATCAGAAGGAGGAGGACGAGGAAGAGGTTCCCTTCCTGTCCCTTTCCATCCGAAGGAGGGGGAATTGGAGGACGAGGAGGCGAATGCCCTTCGTTTCCCTCAGGCAGGAGGATAAGGACGAGGTTCCTTCCCATCCGTTTCCCCCAGGAGAAGGAGGGGGGGAGGGGAGGGGGATCTTTCCCTTTCCTTTTCCACCAGGGAGGAAAAGGAGGAGGTTCCATTCCCTGCCCTGTCCGTCAGGAGGGAGGAGGAGGAGGAAGAGGAGGCTCATTCACTGCCGTGCCTTGCCGAACGAGGAGGAGAAGGAGGAGGATCATTCCCTTCCTTTTCCTTCAGGAGGCGGAACTTCCTTCCCTTCCCTTCCTTCAGGAGGCGGAGGAGGAGGTTCCTTGCCTTCCCATTCCTTCAGGACGGAAAGGGAGGAGGTGCCTTACTTCTCCTTTCTCTCATGAAGGAGGAGGGGGAGGTTCATTCCCTTCCCTTGCCCTCAGGAAGCTTCCTTTACCACCACAAAAATGAGGCAGATGTTCCGTTCCTTCCCTTTCCTTCGGGAAGGAGGAGGAGGAGGGGGAGGTCCCTTCCCTTCCCTTTCCATCAGAAGGTTGGCGGGCAGGCCATTCGGGAACCCAAAACATTGTAACATAGAACGGTTTGCAGCCCAGGATGCTAAACACATTGGGTTCCGCAGTGCTTTGGCGACCCCCAACGCCAAATCCATAGTAACTTATAGCGTTCTGGAGCCCCCGATAAAAATATAAAAATGATGTGAAGTACAATGCTCTCTCAAACGCCGAAGGCCAAACCATTGTAAACCATAACGTGCTGCAGCCTTGGATGCTTTACACATTGTGTCTTACCGTGTTTTGACAACCTCCGAAGCCCAAACCATTGAACACCACAACGTTTTGCAGCCCTGGATGCAAACAACATTGTGTTCCACAGTGTGTTGACAAGCCCGAAGCCCAAACCATTGAACATCACAGCGTTTTGGAGCCCTCGGTGTGGAACACACACACACACACTGTGTTTTAACATGCTTTTCAAACTCCGATGCCTAAACCAGCCTTGGACGCTCAATGCATGATGTTCGTAATGTTCTGACAACTTCGGAAGCCCAAGCTATTGCACATCACCGCGTTTCGGACCCTGGATGCATAGTCCCCTATGTCTTACAATGTTTTTTCTTTACCTCCCGGAGCCGAAAGGCGGATGACGCGTGAGCTGGAGGTGGGAGGCGGCATGGGAGATTGAGGACGGATTGGCGCGTCCTCGCTCCCTCCACTCCTCTCCTGAAGGCTTGGGGGGGTCTCAAGGAAAAGAACAAAAAGACCCCCAGAACCCCCCCCCATTTTTTTCTCGGCCCGAGAAAACACAACATCGACCAGTCCAGATTTTTTTCCCCCTGGGGACCCCCCCCGAGGACCTGGGGGGGGGACCCAGAAGTAAAAACGACGACGACCACCACCACGACGACTACGACGACGACGACGATTACGACGACGACGACGAGGGGTCTCGAGTGTTCTGCTAGGGTTTCCCGCACCAGACGGGGGTCTCGGGTTTGGGCTTCTTTCCGTGGCGGGAATTTGTACATGACCACCGCCTGGAGGGTCAGTTTTCGGGGGCCTCGGCAGGCGGTGGATATGGACATATTCGGCCACCCGGGGGCCGAAATATATCCATATCCACCGCCCGCTGGGGCACCAGGACGTCGGTTCCCAGGCGGTGGATATGGATAAATCCCCGCCTCGCATTATTTTGGAAGGTCTATTGTGGTCGAGCCCCTACTGCAGCGACGAGTCCCGCTTCCGTGCAGAATCGGCGCGCTCAGTCGCAGGATTGGGCGGCACTGGCGCCATGTCTCGAAGGGATCTCTCAGGTGCGGCCTGACCGAGCCCGAGCAAACGTGCGGCTGGAACGGCTGGAGGGAAGGTTGGGAGGCGCGGGGGACGTCACGGAAGGGGATGGTTGCCAGGGGTCGGTTAGGCCGCGCCCGAATTCTCCTCGATGCATGGGTATGGCGCCCACGCGCCAGATCCACAGAGCACTGATCCGTGTGACCTTTCGCCCGATTTCGGAGGGCAGCGCCCAGACCCCCTCGCGGCGTGAAGAGAGTCAACAAAGGGAGGCCTGGGGACTGTTCCGGCCACCAGGGGCCCTCGCTGGGCCTGGGGGCATCCGGGGAGTGATGCGAGAGGACAGCCCGCTCCCGGGGGACTGGGTCGAGGCTTCCGGGTGTCCCGCAACGGGTGTCGGCGCTGGTTCGGGTCTTCCGCTCACCTCCAGTATCGGTTAACCTAACCCCAACCCCATGAAGCCTCCCATCAGCCCACCCCCTCCCGCCGCCCCCGACTTGGGGATATACCCTCCAAAACCCGAGGGAGACGGCCTATATCCCCATCTCGGGGGGTAAATCCCCAAGTGGAGAAAAGGCCACCTAGATGGGGATAGGGTTCGGATAAATGAGATCACTGGCTGACCTGGGCTTGGGAGCTGCCTGGAGCCGGCCCCGCTCCCCCGCCCTCCGCTGGCCCCGGGGGTTCGGGGGCCGGGTCGTGGCCACTCCGGGTTCGCGGTGCTGCCCTGGCTGGCCCGGGTCTGCGCTGGTCCAGGTCAGCACGTCCCTGATGGGGTATGGTCGTGCTAGGGTGGGGTCGTGCATTTCGCTCGAGACATCCTACCAAATTCCAGGAAATCGTACAAAAACAAACGAATTAGTCGAGACATCATCGAAATTCCTGCGCGCGGGGCGCTTTTCCGCGTCGCGGTCGGCTCTGCAAAACCAGCGTGTCGCTCGAGACATCCTCAACAAATTCTGAAACCAAGCGTTTCGCTCGAGACATCCCCGTCGGGGGTTTGGGGCGCCCCTCTCGGAGGCGCCCAGGGGCTTTCGCGAAGAGGCCTCCCGTGCTCCAGTAGCCCGAAGGGCCTCGGACAGAGGCTCCTGCATCTTCAGACTCGGGCAGTGGCGAAGCGTCCTGACTTGCGTGTTGGCCCACCAAAGAATGTTAGAATGCCTGGTGGCGGTTTGCACGACATGCTCATGTAATTTATAACCTCTCTTGTTGAGACAGTCTTGTTTGAAGCCTTCGACTTTATGTTCCAAGAACACCTGGTTCAACTGTAGGTTCGAAGCGTTTCGTGGTGGGCTGATGGGAGCGAAGGGACGGTCGGCTTCCCTGACCTTCCAGGAGGGCTAAAAAATGGCACCCGACTTAAAATCCGATCCCAAGGCTATTCTACGTCTTGGTTTTGGGCTGTTTCGCTCAGTTTGTTTTGGTTTGCAGGCCTCCAGTGCTAACACACAGCTCTCTGGAAGGTCAGGGTTTTTGCCCCACGGGGGAGCCCCCGCGCCCGGAGTGCCGCACCCTTCCACGCTCGAGCGCGTTCTGTGCACGATTCGCGGTATCGTCCGTGGCCGGGGGCCCCCTGCTCGTACGTCGGGCGTGCCCCTCTACAGGAGGAGTGGTCAGAACTGGTCAAAAAAAAACAGTCTGGGGAAGATTTTTCTACCACTGCTTCTCATTCTAGTTCAATTTTTTTATCGACAGTTTACATGTTTCGCCCGAGATCCGCCGGTAGGGGGACATGCCCGACCTGAGCCTACTCTCCCCTTTCCCGCCCCCTGGTGCCGTCGCGACTCGTGCGGGTGCCGTCTGGGAGTCGGCTTCATCCGTGGCCAGTCCCAGATGGCGGCGGTGCGGATCGTGACAGGATAGGGTGTCAGGTCGGACGAGAGGGTGACGGAAAGGAGGGGCTACGAAATCTGTTGCGTGCAGCTGGTTTCGGCCCCGCCGCCGGGCGAGTTCCTCGATACACGTTGCCGCCTTTGGCGCTGGGAGGCGCTGGAGAAAGTCAGCTAGCTACGCGAGCTGATTCACTACCCTTTCCTTCCGACGCTGCAAAACAAAAGTTTCGGAACAAGCAACACAACCAGAGCCCAGGACCCTATATTTCTGCATCATGTTTCAATTCGGATCTATATGTGAGGGTCCCGGGGGGGGGAAGCTGGGCAAAATTATCCCAGTGCGACCCTACCTAGGAGTTGGAACCCCTAGGAAAGCAGCATTAGTAGTAACAGTAACGCTAAGCTAAAGCTAAGCTACAGCTAAGCCACAGCCAAGCTAAAGCTAAGCTAAAGCTAAGCTAAAGCTAACCTAAAACTAATCTAAAGCTAAGCTAAAACTGAGCAACAGCTAAGCTAAAGCTACAGCCACAGCTAAGCTAAAGCTACGCTAAAGCTAAGCTACAGCTAAGCCACAGCCAAGCTAAAGCTAAGCTAAAGCTGAGCAACAGCTACGCTAAAGCTAAGCTACAGCTAAGCTAAATATAAGCTAAAGCTAAGCTAAAGCTCAGCTAAAGCTAAGCTAAAGCTAAGCTACAGCTAAGCTCAAGCTAAGCTAAAGCTAAGCTAAACGCTAAGCGAACAGCTAAGCGACACGCTAAGCTAAAGCTAAGCTACAGCTAAGCTAAAGCTAAGCTAAAGCTAAGCTAAAGCTAAGTTAAAGCTAAAGCTCCCAGGGGACTGGGGGGAACCGCTCCTAGGGGACTGGGGGAACCGCCCGGGGCGATTTCCATTGCCTGGCCCCTTTAAGCTAAGAGAGTAAGAACCCTTCTAGGCAGAGCCTAGGTAGGGAAAAAACCATTGTGAAAAAGTGCAACGCGAGGATCTCAGAGGCCCCCTCCTTTGCCATCACATCCTTCCGCCCGGCCGGGTTCTCGCCAGTCGTTCCCAGAGGCGTGCTCTCCGCCCCCCTCCGTGCGCGCCCCGCCGAGGCGACCCGCACCTGGTCAACGTGCACGGGCAGCGCTTCGACGTGCTTCAGCCCGGCAGCCACGTCCTCCTCCACGTGCCCATTCGAGGAAGAGAATCCACGTGCTGTCGGCGCTCCGCGCGGACGTCTCGGATCGGCGCCGGGAAGTCCCGCCCTGGCGCGCGGCACGCGCCAGGGGGGCGTGGCGCCAGTCCAACGACTCCGCGCGAAGTTTCGAAAGTTCATGTTCGTGTTTTATAAAAGTACGTCGATCGTGCCGCGGTCCATGGAGAGCAGCACGACGCAGTGAAGCACTCGCAGGTCTTCTCAGGAGACGGCGTCACCTGGGGCCGACCCCACCTCCACCTTCGCCGCCTCCTCCGCCATCTCCACAGACCTGCCTGTGTCCTCCTCACCCTCCTCTGCCTCGTCCTTGCCTTTCGCACTCGCCCTCGTCTACATGATCCTTGCCTTCGCCCTCCGCCTCCACCTTTGGCCACGCGCAGAAAGGGTAGGGGAAGGGGGGAAGACTTCTTAGACGCACCCCTGCTCCTTAGAAGGCGCGGGCCTTGTCTGTAGATGTAGGGCCGGTGCCTTCTAAGATGCAGCCTCCTTCTAAGAAACCTTCCCCCTACCCCCTTGTGCGCGCCCCCAACACCTTCTTTGACTCAGCTTCCTCTTGCTTGCGCCCTCCGCTTCCGCCGGGGGCTCCGCCAGGGGGGGAGCCCCGCGCCGATCCCGCCTCGTCCTTGCCGTTTGCACTCGCCCTTTCGGATGCAACTCCTGGGAGGTCAAATTTTGAATTTGCCCTGGTCCGAAGTAACTACGGCTAAATCGGGCTTAATTCGGCTCAATCCCGCTGAATCCGGCCTAATCCCGTTCAATCTTTCCGACGAAACCCTCCCAGTAGTTGCCTCCTAACGCCCTCCTCCACATGATCGGGCGCACAGAACTATGCACACACACACACACACCGATTCTGGCCAGGGCCCTCCGGGGCCCAGGATCGGTGCACATGCTTTCTTGGCCAAGGCAGGCGGGCGTATGCACCGATCCTGGGCTCAGGATGGGCCTGGCCAGGATCGGTGTCTGCGCATAGTTCTCTCCCCCTCTGACATGACCTTCGCCTTTGCTCTCCACCTCACACCCCCTCTGCCTCGGCCTCGCCCCTGCTCACGATCTCGAGGTGCCGCCAGGGGCGGGGGGGCGGCGTGCCGATCTGGGGATGGCAGGAAAGGCAGCCGGCTGCGCCAGTGCTCCACGGCGCGCCTCCAGAACGGCGCGCCTCCTTCGGGCCGGACGGGGGGGGGATTGGGAAAGGGGAGGTTACGAAATCTGCTGCACGCAGCTGGTTTCGGCCCCACCGAGGGGCCCATTCCTCGATACATGGCCGCCTCCGGCGCCGGGAGGCGCCGGGAAAATCAGCTACGTGAGCTGATTCCAAAACCCACCCTTTGCTATCCCCCCCTTTCGCCCGGCCCGACTCCTGCCCAAGACTTCGAGGTGTTGGTCGGGCATGTCCCCCTACAGGCGGATCTTGGACGAAAAATTAAAGAAATAGTCAGAAAATTATGCAGAAATTGTCAGGACTAGTCAAAAGATCGTCCCCAGACTATTTCTAGACTATTTTTCAACACTCCTCCTGTAGAGGGACAGGCCCGACTTAATTCGAGGTGGACGCAGCCGTGGCGACGACGAAAGCCACTTCCCCGCAGACCCCTCCCGGTGCGCCTCCTGCCCAAGTTCTCGGGGCACAAATATTGAATGTTTGGTTCGTGGTCCCCTTCTTGGGCCCCTCTTCGGCCGTCTTGAGCGCTTCTTGGGCCATGCTGGAGCCCTCTTGGGCTGTCTTGGGGCCCTCTTGGAGGCTGTCTTGGGCTGTCTTGGGGTGGCGATCTCGGGAGCCTCTTGAGCCGTCTTGGAGCGTCGGAATGCAGATTATGTGAGAACGCCGAAATCTTTTAGTAACGGTGACCAGTTTGACCTCTTGGGCCCCTCTTGGGGGTGGCCTTGGAGCGCTGTTGGGGCCTCCTGGGTTTTTTGTTTGGCCTTCTTGGAACCATCCTTGGAACTACCTTGGGCAATTTGCGAGGGATTGTGGCCTCGGCAGTGCGAATGCGGCGTAAGTTGCGAGGGATAATGGCCTCGGGAACGCGAATCTTGCATATTCTATGAAGGTTTAGGGCCTCAGGGGCGCGAATCTCACGGACTGTTACTTGTCCCCTGGCCCCCCAGGCATTCTGGGGACGTGACTCGGGCGTGGTAACCGGGCTGCTTGGGGCTCCCCTCCTCGCGCGGACAGTGACAAATTACAGCAGGAAGCAGAAAGTGGAACGATCGCAACTAGAGCCTGCAACTGGAGCATGGAGCAGCAAGCCTGAGCCTCGCAGCCTGATGGCCCCGCAAGGGGGCCGTCAGTTTGCTTGGCTACTTCCGATTGTTTTGTTTGCTGTACCGATGTGTGTTCCAAAACCCGCCTTCAAGAGGACATGCCCGACCTACTGCTCCACAGGCCTCTCCCGGGGCGCATTCTACCCAGGACTTCGAGGCGGATGCAGCCGTGGCGACGACGCAAGGGCAGCGGTATCGGTGCGGTGGACTCGTGTCGTGTCGACCCAGCGGCGACCCGCCGCCGGCGGTTCAACGTCGAACGCCGCTGGCGACCCAGAATCGGTCGATGTTGAACGGCCTGACGGCCTGACGTGTCGGAAACGGCCGACCTTTCAAGGTGGAACGATCCCCGCGGTGCCAGAAACCAGCGCGGAAGTCGGCACGACGCGCACCTGCCGTAGCGGTATCGGTAATTGCGGCAGGTTCGTGTCGTGTCGACCCAGCGGCGATGCTGCCCCGGGCGTGCAAGTTTGAACGCCGTTGGCGGCCTCGACAAGCCGGCGATCGTTGTCAAGGTGGGAAGATCCATGCGGTGTCGGCAACCACCGCCGTTGCCGTCACGACACGAAGTTACCATACGTGTTCCCCCCGAGCTTCCAGAACTCCGCGCGGAGCTTCGAGAGTTCATGCTCGTGCTGTGTGCTTCTGGTGGTGCGTGGAGCGGGCGGAGCCTGGAGAGCTGCTCGTCGCAGGACTAGAGGTTAGCGCCAACGGCAATATCGGTGGCATGCCTCCACCGAGGGAAGATGATCCCGATCTCGGCGATGGCGGTAATGTTCGGACTTCCTGGGCGACCGAAAGATTACCACCAACACCAACATCTAGGACCGTCGTTGCCCCGGTGGAGGCAACCCCTTGTTTTGGTGCTGGTGCTCGTTTCCGAGCCTCCACGTGGCGCGGGGAAAATCAGAGCCCCGAATCCTCAAGGGTAACTCGGGTCAGGGTTAACTCGGGTTCTTTTTTCGGGAATCCGAACCCGAGTGACCCCGGACCCGAGTTACCCCGGATAATTCGGGCGTCCAGAGCCCCACATCATCAGGGGTAACTCGGGTCAGGGCTAACTCGGGTTCCTCTTTCGGGAATCCAGGCCCGAGTTACCCCGGACCCGAGTGACCCCGGATGACTCGGGCACCCAAGGAAAGAAGCATAAACAACAACGCGCACCGTGCCGTGTCTTCTCCTCCTCGGCCCATGGGGGCGCACCCGTCGCACGCGCTCCTCCGCGTCGTGGCCGAGGCCCAGCAGCTCGGCGGCGCCTGTGCGGACACGTACTTCGTGGCCGTTAACATCACCGGGCGGTGGGCGGGGCCCGAGGCTCGAGCGCACGGCACGGGCGATGGACGTCCCGAGGGGGGAGAAGTCCCCGCCGTTCCGCTGCTGCTGCTGCTGCTGCTCCTCCTCCTGCTCCTCCTGCTCCTCCTCCTGTCCCTCCTCCTCCTCCTCCTCCTCCTCCTCCTCCTCCTCCTCCTCCTCTGCTGCGGCTGCTGCTCCTCATCCACCTCCTCCTCCTGTCCCTCCTCCTCCTCCTCCTGTCCCTCATCCTCCTCCTCCTCCTCCTCCTCCTCCTCCTGCTGTTCCTGTCCCTCCTCCTGCTGTTCCTGTCCCTCCTGCTGTTACTGTCCCTCCACCTCCTGCTCCTCGTCTTCCTCCTCCTTCTGTCCCTCCTCCTCCTCCTCCTTCTGTCCCTCCTCCTCCTCCTCCTCCTCCTGTCCCTCCTCCTCCTCGTTGCTCATCCCTCTCCTCCTCTTGCTTCGGCGTTCCACAACATCAGCGACAATGCAAGTCTGACATCAGGCGCTCACGAGGTCGCAAGGAGGGGTGCCCGTCCTCGCTCTCCTCCTCGTCCGCCTTGCCCCTCCGCTCCTCGTCGTCACCCTGGCGAGCGGCAGCCAGCCCGCGGGGCGCTGCTGCACGAGTGCAGGCAGAGATCAGCTGCGGATGGTAAGCAGAAGCCCCCAAGCGAGCCACGAGAAAGCCCGCGCGGGCCATGGCCAGCACCTACAGGGTTGGGGCCCGTTCGCTCGTGCGAGAAGACCGAGCAGTGTGGCAGCAACCTCTGTCGCCATTCAGCGCGATGGAGGGCGAACGCGCGAACGCGAAGCCCGGCATCACCGACCACAGCGCTGGGGCCAGCTCGCGCGAGACGGGGGAAGAACGGCAGGCGGGCGCGGGCCAACGCCATTTGCTGCACGGCTGGGAGCAGTTCGTGCGCGCGAGAAGACCGAGCAGAAACAGCAATCGCTGCCGCCATTCAGCGCGATGGAACGCGAGCGCAAATCCCGACGTCACCAGCCACAGCGCCGGACCCCGAGGCGTGCGAGACCGGAGAAGAACGGCAGGCGGAAACGGGCCAACGCCATCAGCTAGTTACAGGGCTGGTGCCAGCTCGTGATTGCGCTTCCGTACCGATTGAATCACAATCCAATGAACGAAAAACACATGTTTGATCACATCCGCACGTATAAATGATGACGCGTCGCCCGTCATGCTTTGAGCACGTTGCTAGCGTTGAGCCCCCCCAGCGGCTGCACGCGGTCTTTCAACGGGGCGGGCGAGGACTGATAATCGACTCTCCATGAGCACCGCCTGGGCAGTGCTTCTGGACGCGGTGGTGATGAGGGCGCGCGAAACGTGAAATGCATGGAAGTTGGATCTGGCCGCGGAGCACCCTAACAGGTTGAAGATCTCGAGTAAACCTTTGAGTCGGACCGCGAAGGACACCAAAACAAAACAGACGACAAAGAAAGCGGTGGCGGTACCAGACAATGCCGGCGACCAAAAAAAATGAGGCCGACGACAAATTCAAACGACACAAAAAAAAATCAACGACAAAAAAAGTGGCGGACGACAGAATTCGCTGGCGGCGCAGAGCCGCGACACAGTTCGAAGCGGCGGCGACAAAATGTTTTTTCTTAAAAAATAAGAAAGTAAAAAACAAACCAAAAAAATGTGTTGGAAAGCGTGCGGCAAAAATTGCGGAAATTCTATTCGCATTGCACATGCACCTACATAGGGAATGCTGACCACGGGGCAAATTTGCCACGCGGTTTGGTCGGACGATTTGTCGTCGCGCGTTCCGCGCGCCCGGAAGGCTCGCGCCCAGGCTGGGATCCCCCGCGCGCGCAGTGATATTTGCGCGCGCGCGCATGGCGCGCGGCGGAATTGGCGCGCGCAGGAGATTCACGCGCGAGCCGACGCCTTCGCACGAGCCTCCATTGCTGGCGAAGCGCGAGGCTCGCCCGCGTGCGCCAGGCAGGCGCGCGCGACAAAGTAGCGATGCACCGGGAAAGCGGCACAGTCCGTCTGCGCCGCGCACGGCGCGAGACCAGCGCCAACGCGAGAGCCATGATTCGGGGCGGGCGGTGGCGTCAGAGTTGAATTCGCATCTCGCTCACAGGTCGGCACCTTCCAGTGGGGAATTTGCACTTCGGCCCCATGTCTAGTTGTCAAGCGATATGTCTGAGGATCCTGTCGTGTAGGTACTTAGTGGGGGGGGGGGGAGATTGCGAGAAGGCTGAGCAGCGGCCGCAATCTCCGTCGCTTCTCAGCGCGATGGACCGCGAACGCGGAGCCCGACATCATCAGCTACAGCGCCAGGGCAAAAGCGCGCGAGAAGGGGTGGGGTGGGGGGGCGGCGAGCGGGCGCGGGCCGACGCCGTCAGCTGCGCGGCTGGGGCCAGTTCGCGCTTGAGTGGATGTCGAAAAGTGGCCGCAATACATGCCGCTATTCAGCGCGGTGGCGCATGCGAAACCCGACGTCACCAGCTGCAGCGCCGGGGCCGCCGCGTGCGAGACTGGGGAAAAACGGCGGGCGGCCGCGGGCCAACGCCATCAGCTACAGAGCCCAGGCCAGCCCGCGCGCGCGGGAGGGCCCTGGAGTGGCAGCAATGTCAGTCGCTATTCAGCACGATGGAAGGCGAGCGCGACGCCCGACGTCATCGGCCACAGCGCTGCGGCCAGCCCGCCAGGGCTTGGGCCAGTTCGCGCGCGCGAGATGGGGGGGGCAACGGCGGGCGGGCGCAGCCCGACGTCGTCGGCTACTGGGCGGGGCCAGCTCGCGCGCGCGAGAAAGCCGACCAGCGGTGGGCAACCCCTGCCGCTATTCGGCGCGATGGAAGGCGAAGGTCAGGCCCGGCGTCGCCAGCTGCGTGGCTGGGGCCAGGGCGCGCGAGCAGGGGGGCTCTTGGCCGTCGGGCGGTGGCCCTGCCATTCAGCTACGTGGCTGGGGCCAGCTCGCGCACGCGAGATGGCCGAGCAGGGCCGGCAATCTCTTTCGGTCCTCAGCGCGAGAGGCGGACGCGAAGCCGGCGTCATCAGTTACACATAAGAAGGCCGAAGAAGGTCCCCGCAGTGCGGTATCTTCAGTGGGTGTTGCATGGTCCGTTCACATCCCATTCAAGTGCTCCGTCATGGCCGACATCCATTACGCGCGGGCATCTAGGGGCATGAATGCAACGCGCGAGCGCCGACCGTTGGCGGCAACTTCTATTCCGACATCTACTCCTCCAAATTCTACGCCAAACGACATCGTCGAATTCGCGGGCGTTGTTCGCTCGAGACGCTGCCCGGCCCCGCAGGCAGAAGGCGCGCTGCCCGCGCCCCCTGCGACGCGCTAATTTTCGAACCGTCCGTGAGACGCCAAGTGCGTCAGGATACTTGGCGGCGCTATCCCTGCCACATGAGTGCATCATCGTCCTGGTCGTCTGGGTCCTCCGCGGTCGGCGGGTCTGGCTTGGCTTCGTCATCGCGGATGCTTCTCCACAGCAGTTCTCCGACTTCGATTGGATCGAAGCGGCGCCGGGCTGAGCGCCCATACTTTGTCTCGACGGCCCATTGGCCCATTGGGGCCCCGCGACCAGGTCGCGGCGCGCGCGGGCGCGCGGCGGGCCCGAATCGACCGGGCAGAGCCTCGGGGCGCGCGGCAGGACAGCCTGCCGATTCCATAACCGCGCCAAAAAAGTCCACGCAGAATGATCATGTGTCGGAGGTCGGCGCGTTGATTTGTCACTTCAGGTGCAAGCAGCGGTGCAGCGAGGACTTCGTGCATCTGCAGTTCGCGCTGGTTGACGGAGTCAGCCTGTTGTGCGACAGCGGCGAGGCGGCCTGCTGCTCCAAGCTGATTCTCGAGAACGCGACGGTCAAACTGCTCGGGGGGGGATGGGCGGAGTTATCACGCTGGACGCTGGGCGCAGTTCCACAGGGCCACTTGGAAGGCCAGGCGCCGAATGCGTTGGATAAACGCAAGTTCTGAGGCAAAGACAAGATTTGGAAGGGATCGTGAAAGATAGGTGAAGCATCGATACCCGTTGTGCCAGGTTTGCAGTGGAAGAACGCTCGTCAATATCATGCTCCAGGGGTGACCGCCTCTTCTATGCCCCTCGGTTCACGTTGTTAAGTCTTCGCTGGGCGTCAGACGGCAAGTCCCAGACAGATGCCACAGCTTCGGCGCAGCGCCCTGGACTCACGTTGTCACAGTTCTGCTGAGCTCCACCAGGGTTGATATGCCGATCTCGTACTCCATGTTCCTCATTGGTTGGCAGTTCGGGCTCACCGAGTGCATCCGGATGACCTCTGGTCTAGTCAATGATTGTTGGCGAACGCTGAACGGCGCGCGTTGCCCGTAACCTCATTTACAGGGTATGCCTTCGTTTGAGGCGGTAGCTTGCGCGAGTACCACACGGTGCGTTCAGCTCCATGTCGTTCCCCACGCACGCGATGCCGAGTCGCATCTTATCTTGATCCTCCTCCTCATGTGCCTCTTGCTCCTGTCCCTTCGCATCATGTCCCATTCCTGTCCCTGCTCCTGCTGCTGTTCCTTCTCCTCCTCCTGTTCCTCCTTTGCCGACACCGTTGCATTCTCCTGCGTCGTTAAGACGAGCAGAGACCACAGGAGGGCGAGTCGACACAAGGGTCGTTGGCCTTCCAAGGGTGTGCCTCCGTCTCCACAGTGGATCGCAGCTCGGAGAGCTGGTGTGTGTTTGGGCCTGCCGTTTGAAAACCGATTATGAGCTGCCGTTGTCTCAGTTCGCTTGGCTCCGGGAAGGAAAATAAGCTCGTGGGTGGACAGAACCCTCACCCTGACACGTCGATTAGTGAATTGTTCGTTTCGGTTCTCGAGGGGGCGCCGCGGCCGTCATTTTCCAGGCTTGCGCCCGCCAGGTTTGAGCCCGAGGTCGTTTTCATTAAACCGCATTTTGCTAAAGGGGACCTTGCCCATCTCCCAAACACTCGGCATAAGCACGGACATTCGGAGCTCCGCGCGGATTTCTTGAAATGGCGTTTTGAACCCCCTCTGGCAGTGCCGATCCATGAAACCCGCGCGGAGCTCCGACAATTTATGACACGCTTCTTCCTCATAACGTTTGGTTTGAGGGATCTGCTATAGGGGGGAAAAGGACGACAGAACAATCCGAACAGAGGAGACGGCGAGCCCTAGATCACCTGGTCTGGCAGCCATGTCGACTGCGACCATCCCCAAATTTTTCATTCATCGTCCTCTCGCCTCCACGCCAGCTGAACATTTGGTTTGGACTGCGTGCGCGATGTGCATCCATATTCACTGCTCCTTGGACGTTCTAGGAAGGGCCACCAACAGGCCGCCGCGCAGTGGACATGGATAACAATTTGACCTCTAGGGGCGAAACTGCTTTATCCATATCCATAGCACGAAACTACAAGACGCAGTGGATATGGATTCAAATGTTGCCCGCGTGGACGGACACGCTCCCTTGCACACAATACATTCTGGCGAGCATGGCTGGGGTCTTGACATCCCCCTTCGTGTCTTGATGTTTTCCTATCTTCGACCCGCCTCTTCGCCTTTGCTGCGGTTAGGATGCGTCGCTGGGATAGTTCTGTAACCGCCACCGCCGGGATCGCCCGAACCGCTTGTGGTCCGAACGCGCCCTGGGAGAGGCTCCAGATTGCCAACCTAGACAATTCGACCTGCGCTGTGTCACTCGACGTTGGCATTCGATTGTGCCTGTGCAGTCCCCGGTCGATTTCGCGGATCGATGTGCGTCTCGTTGGATACATTCGGTTATTTTTGGATGTCGATTAGCTACCCCGCTTGGGTGCACACGGAATGCGGTGCCGTTCGCACGTGCAGTGTTTCTGGCAACGTTCATGGAAGGGCTACAGGAGGTTCTGTCCACCTCCGAGGAGTGGCAGTGCGCGGTAGGCTCGCGTCGTGTCAACCAGCGGCGACCTCGCCGCCAGCGTTCAACGTCGAACGCCGCCGGCGACCCAGAATCGGTTGATGTCGAGCGATCCGACGTTTCGGAAACGGCAAATCGTTCAAGGTTGAACGATCGCCGTGGAGTCAGCAACCGACGCGGAGGTCGACGCGGCACGAATTTGCCGTAGCCGATCGGTATTTGGTGGTTCCCCCCAGGTCGGGGCCTCGTGTTCCATGCGGACGGCGACGCGGCGGCGCGACCAGACGCGGCGTGGATGTCCTTCGGGACGGTGTCGCTGAAGGCTCGGGCAGTGCCAAGGGGGGGGGGGTTATAGAGTAAGTCACGGAAGCTGAAGGCTCGGGAAGTACCAAAAGGGTTTTTTTCTAGTATTTCACGGAAGTGTCCGCTCATCTTGAATTGCATGTGCGTGTACATATGTATATATATATATCACATACAGACACATTCATATATATATATATATATATATATATATGTATGTATCGAAATGTGTTCAACTACATACTCAATTTCATATGTACGTACAGATATACATGCATGCATACATACATACATACATATTTACTTACATACATACATATTTACATATTTACATACATACATACATACATACATACATACATACATACATACACACATACACACATACATGCATGCATGCATGCATACATACATACATACATACACACATACATACATACATACATACATACATACATACATGCATACATACATTCATACATACATACATACATACATACATAGATGCATGCATGCATGCATGCATGCATGCATGCATGCATGCATGCATGCATGCATGCATACATACATACATACATACATACATACATACATACATACATATACATGTGCACATATATGTATATATGTGTGTATCCCGGCTTCCAGTTCCTGACTCCCGGTTCCCAAATCCCAGTGCCCGTTCCCGGTTCCAGGGTCCTGGTTCCCCGCTCCCAGTTGCGCCTCCCCTGGCTCACGGTTCTTGGCCCCGGTTCTCTTCGTTATTGTTCCATAGGGCGTTCCCTCGAGGAAGTGGCGGCGCCCATAGTGGCGTCACCCCTTGGAATTGCCTCTGAAGGTGGTTCATGGCCGCACCCGCGCGGGGGCCGCGTACCTGAACCTGTACGCTCGCAATCTGTTGAAGGCGGCAGCATCCTCTAACCCGTCCCCATCCCCACTGGGCTATGGCATTTCAGCCCCACCAGCCCACCCGCCTAGGTGGGAATAGGCCCCGCGAAACATGGAGGAACAGGCATGTATCCCCACCTAGGTGGGCAAGTCAGCCAGAGGGGCCGAAGGCACGCTAGTGGGGATCGGGATTTGTTCAACGATGTTCGAGGCGGGCTACCTCGTCGGGGGGCTCCTCGGCGAAGACGACCACACGGAGGTGGCCACCCCGAGCTCGAACTGCAACCGGGTCGTCAGCCTGCTTTCGGTCAGGGGCCGTTTGTTGTGATGGCGCTTGGCCGTTGCATTGGGTGGCAGGGTCTACCGATGCCGCGGCTCGTCCTGGAGATGCTTCGTCGCCGCTGCTGGATTATCCTGGAACTTCTGGTCAGAACACACGCCGGGAGAGTTCTGGGGAGCAGCGGTATCGGGATCTTCTTGTCTCCCAGACTTGTCCTCGTTATCCACCTCCTACTCTGGGAAGAGCGGGCGAGACGTCCTTTCGCCCGCTCGACCTCTTCTCTTCCTCTTCCTGCTTCTGCGCCTGATCATTGTCCGTAGCACTGCCTCTAGGATCTAGGAGCGCGGCGGGGCTACTTTTAAGGCGGGGTAGCGGCTAACTCTTTTGAGGATTGCCCTTCTCTACTATCAGCTACGACGCCGGTTGGGCCGTCTAGCTGCACAGTGGAGTTGGCGGATGCCTTGCATGCATGATTCTGATGGTTGCGTCAGTCGAATGCAAGACCGCCCGAAAGCCCAGGTCCTCCTCTGGATGGGGCTCGCCGTCGCAAGCAGGCATGGGTGAGTCTCTGCGCTGGCTTCGGGTGTTCCTAGAAGTGCCCCTGGCCCAAGGTGCCCCCAGGGTTTCCAAGGAGGCCCACAGTGCCTCCAGATCACCCCTGACGAGGCCCAGAGGGCCCCCAGGGCTTCAAAGTTGAGCGAAAAACTGGGGGCACCTTGGGACATGGGGTACCTTTAGCAACCCCAGATGGCTGATCAGGGCAGGGGGAGGAGGGCAAAAAGGGCAGCGCCGCGCCGGGGAATTCCAGCGAGCGCGGCAGGAAGCCGCCCCCCCGCCCTTGAGGCAGCAAGGGGGCACGCTCGGCGGCAAGCCCGGGTGGGAAGTGAACACTCTTACTCCTCCTCCTCCTCCTCCTCCTCCTCCTCCTCCTCCTCCTCCTCCGCCTCCTCCTCCTCCTCCTCCTTCCTCCTCTTCCTCCCTCCTCTTCCTCCCTCCTTCGTTTCCTCTTCCTCCTCCTCCTCCTCCTCCTCCTCATCATCATCATCATCCACCTCCTCGTTCTCATCCTTCTCCTCCACCGCGGCTTCCGTGCCTCGGGAGCGCCAGACAAAGAAGGGGGGCATGCCGTCTCAGAAGGCGGCGGGGCTGCTCAGAAGCCTGGCCACCCTTCTGAGGAGGCCTGCCCCCTCTCATTTCCCCCCGTGGCGCGCCGCGGAGTTTGGTTTCTGGGTCGTAACTCGGATCGCTGGCGGCAGTTCGGGACGATCCATGCACCCCCGGAACGCTCGCGGCGAGGCGCAGCCGCTGCAACGCATCTCGACTCCCAAAAACCTTGAACCTCGATCCCGAAACTCCTTGCGGCGACGCCTCCTCTCACTTCCCCTGGGCTCGCCGCCGTGAAGCAGCAACAGTACACGCCCCCGAGGTTCCCCAAAAAGCCCACCGGGGCCCCCGCGGCTGGTTTCGGGACCGCGCTCACTCCACGTCCGGCGGAGTGCACGATGGAGGAGGAGGAGGAAGAAGAGGAGGAGGAGCTACCACAGGAGGAGGAGGAGGAGGAGGAGGAGGAGGAGGAGGAGAAGGTGGAGGAGGAGGAAGGAGGGAGAGGAGGAGGAGGAGGAGAGGAGGAGAACGAGAGGAGGAGGAGGAGGAGGAGGTGGAGGAGGAGGAGTGGAGGAGGAGGAGGAGGGGAGAGAGGGGAGGAGGGAGGAGGAGGAGGAGGAGGAGGGGAGGAGGGGGGGGAGGTGGAGGAGAAGGAGAAGGAGGAGGAGGAGGAGGAGGAGGAGGAGGAGAAGGAGGAGGGAGGAGGAGGAGGAGGGGAGAAGAGAGGAGGAAGAGGGGGAAGAGGAGGAGGAGAAGGAGAAGGAGGAGGAGGAGGAGGAGGAGGAGGAGGAGGAGGTGGAGCAAGAGCAGGAGCAGGAGCAGGAACAGGATCAGGAGGAGAAGGAGGAGGAGGAGGAGGAGAAAGGAGGAGGAGCAAGAGGTGGAAAGGGAGGATCTGGGGATGAGGAGGAGGAGAAGGAGGAGGAGCAAGAGGTGGAAAGGGAGGATCGGGGGATCTGGGTATGAGGAGGAGAAGGAGGAGGAGGACAAGGAGGTGGTGGAGGAGGAGGAGGAGGGGACAGTAATAGCAGAAGTTGGCGCAGGAGTGGAATGTTACAAGACAAGCAGGAGGAGCTCGTCCAGAAGCCCAATTGCCAGTAAGGGGAGGAGACGGAAGCTCTAGCCTGAATCGAGCATTGTGACGAAGTACACGCTGGCGAGAGGGCTGTCGTCCGAAGACGGTCGCAGCGCTTGGCCCAGGCCGGCCCTGGGCAGAGGAGGAGGAGGAGGAGGAGGAGGAGGAGGAGGAGGAGGAGGAGGAGGAGGAGTTGGAGGAGGAGGAGGAGGAGGAGGAGCTGCCTCATGAGGAGGAGGAGGAGAAGGAGGAGGAGGAGGAGGGGAGGAAGAGGAGGAAGAGGAGGAGGAGGAGAAGGAGGAGGAGCTGCCCTCCGTCGTGCGTGCTGCTCCTGCTGCTCCCTGCTCCTCCTCCCTTCTTGCACTCCTGTTGCTCCCTTTGTGTCGTCCCCCCCAGTCGGTTCTCCTTCGGATTTCCCCCCCTCTGCTCGTCTGGCGGCCGCAGGCGGTCCACGTTCATCCCCTTTCCTTCAGCCCAACTCTGTCGGAGGGGGGGGGGGCGAGGGCATCGGCGCATCATCGAACGGGGCTAGGACGAGGACGAGGCCGCTCCAGAGCGTTCCGGGGCGCTCCCAGCTCGTTCCTGAACGCTCTGAGAAGGCCGCGGCGCCCGAGACATCCTCCAGAGCCGCCGGATCTCAGAGATCTTCGATCCATCCTCACCCGATGTTATCCCCGCCCTGGCTTCGTCTTACAGCAGCGCGAGACTGTCCGCAGCGTGCAGCCCGTGGCCTGCCGCAGGAGGAGCAGGCGCAGGCGCCAGGAAGTCGGACCCCCGCGCGCGCTCTCCCGCCCCGCCCCCGCCACTCGGCATCGCTCGGACGTGTGCACTTTTTTCTCGGCGGGGGCTGTCGAGAAGCATATCGGGTCATCTTGCGAAGCAAGAATCGGTGATCCTCCGGATAGGTGTTTGCCCAATTTGAAGGGCCTCAGTGGGCAAGCACACGTTGGCGTCAGCACACGTTCTGAGGATCATCGAAAGAAGCGCACGAAGCCGACACATGCACAGGGAGTGGACGCTCGAGCGATGGCAAGCCCAGGCATCGAGGCCCAGAGCTCGATGGACCACGCCCTGGAGCACACCGGACAGCAGGCCGAGTGGCAGCCTCAAGGCCAGCCTTGCTCTCCGCGGCGTCCCATCTCCTTCCTGCTCCGCCTCATCACCATCACCATCACCATCATCACCACCATCATCATTACCATCATCATTATCGCCATCATCATTAGCATCATTACCAGCATTACCATTACGATCATCATCCGTACCATCATTACCATTAGAGCTACCATTACGTTACCATGCTTGCCATCATTACCATTGCCGTTCCGGCAGCCGATATCAGCCGGAAGCGGAAACGCAAGTTTTTTCGATACCCCCCATCAAGTGCTCCACTCAACCGAGCACGAGTTTGGAGGCTTCACGGGAAACCGTCCGAGGCAACCAGCGCAGATTTGATATTTCCGTCTGAGTTCGGGGGGCAGCACTGGTGTTGAAGTCGAACGTATGGTTGAAACCGAATGTTTGAAGCACACAATCGCGCGCGAGTCCGGAGGATTCACGAGAAACGATACGAGGCTACCAGCGCAGATCTGATATTTCTGTCCGAGCTCGGGGGCATTGGTGTTGAAGCCGAACGGATGGTTGGATGCGGCACTGGTGGATGCAGACAGGCCTTCAGCCTGAGGGCAAGCTCCTGCGAGCGACCACTGGAAATCAGGATCAAATCCATGACGCACGGTGGATACAGAGCCCGTCGTGCGTTACGTCTCACGGACACGATAGAGTTAAGTCGGGCGTGTCCCTCTACAGGAGGCATATTCAAACATAGTCCTATAATAGTTTTGGAACGATGCTTTGTGCGTACTTGTTTTGATTCGTTTCGAGCATTGTTCGAACATCTTTTTTTAGGCTTCCTCCCGAATCCGCCTGCAGGAGGACATGCCCGACCTGGCGGTAGAGCCCACTCGAGGCCAGGGACGCACCGTCACGCCCCCGCAGCTGCGCTCACCCCCCGGGCCTCCCTGCAGCTGCTCCCCAGGCGCCCGGGGGAGCCGACCGGAGGGCCGACGCCCAGTGCCCGAGGCCGACGCGGGGGCGACGGCCGGCCGCACACGGCGGCGGACGCTCCTCGGATCTCTGGCGCCGCGCTGCCGCCCGCCGCCTTCCGAGAAGGCCCTCTCCTCCTCGCTTCCCTCCCTCACCCGCCGCCGAGCGACGGCGGTCCCAAAGCCTCGGAGGTGGACAGACCTCCCACCCTGACACGCCGATTCAGGAATTGGCCGTTGTCGGTTCGCGAGAGGGCGTCGCGGCCGTCATTTTTGCGGGTCCAGGTCCGTGGGTTTCGGTCCCAGGCCGTTTTCACTAAGAGGAGGTTTGTCCACCGCCGAAAGCCCCTCGCTTTGTGAAGGAGTCGCGGCGGCAGGGTCTGCGCTATGTTCGGCCTCCGGGGGCCCTTCCCGGGCCTCGGGAGCGTCAACAGACGGCTGGGCATGAGAAGCCGGTCCCGGGGAACGGGTCCAGACCTTTGGGGGTCGACGTTGTAAAAAATTACAACGTCGGGGGTCTGGGTGGGGTGCTCGCCGCAGTTGGATGGCATGTTTCAGGTTGAGTCCGCGATGGCAGATGGACCCCCACGTCGAGAGGAGCTCTGTACTGCCCAGGGGCTTCTGTGATGAACTTGGAGCTCACGGGGTCTGACACTGCCGTGGATTATATCCTTGTTCTCTGCTGTGCCTTGGAGGATTTGTCATGTCGCAGGCGGGGACGTGCATGTTGACTCGTTTGGCCCCCTAAGTCTCTTGAGAGCGCGGGGTCAACTCTGAATTGCATCAGCCGTCGCCCGAGGAGGCACGGACATTGACCGAGGCCAGGTGTAGCATATGCGTGATACGTCTCAGAAATACAGTGTTGCCTGACGCTCCTTAGTGGTCATCTAGGCGGAAACCGCAGACACTCATGATCATCACCATAATCACCACCACCATCATGATTATCAGCATCATCACCATCATCAGTATCACCATCATCATCAGCATCATTATCGTCATCCGTTGCTTCTCCCGCTTCTCCTCCTTCTTCTCCCTCCCTCCCGTTCCAGTTCTTTCCTCCCTCCCTCCTGACTCTCAGGTCTCCTCCCCCTCCTCCACCTCCTCCTCTCCTCTCCCCTTCCCTTCCTCCTCCTTCACCTGATCGTCATCCTTTCCATGCTTTCTCAGTTTGGCTCAACCGGTTTCTGGCTTTGGACTACTGGAGCGCCGATCTGTCGATCATGTTTCAATACTTTTGTGTCTCCTAGTCGCAACATGGCCCAACATTTTATGTCAAGGTGAACGGCCTCTACAGTTCGTAAGCTGTCTGCTCTAGCGGCAGAGATGTACACACTGGCTGGACACCATGCATTGTTCTCGCTAGTGTTCGCCAAGTTCACTGGAGGATGCGTTACCGTCTGTCCTTTACTGCTTGCTCGATTTCGGGAGTCTCTAGCCTTCTCGTCCTTCGTCTGAGGAAGGCGGTGGTATGCCGTCGAGGATCAGAGCTCCAAGGGTCACCGTTTCGTTGACACATCTTCCGTCTTGGAGTTGTCTTGACCACCCGTCT